GACTGTGGTAACTACTTAACACTTCTCTACTCTATGCAAATCCAAGATGAGGTGCCTTATGCTTCTTTCGGACGTAGGTGGATGGAGAGGATGACGTCCCTGTTTCTGCTGTAGAAAGTTGGCCCAGGCTTCCAGTACATACCCAGATATATCCAAGCTTGCATGTCTCAGAGGCGTTAGCGCATTTGCAGATCGTATTTTGCAGGTCGATTCGGCCAACAGCCTGCAATCAAATGAGTGGGAAATACATGGGTTGGCTGAGTACAATGAGTTGGCTAGGAGGAGCCTTCAACGAATACTCTCCAAGTCTACTCAGGGACAGACTGGAAAGTTACACTACATTTAGCTCCGCGCTGAGAGCTAGGCTAGCTGTGCACGGGTATCAAACGCCAAACATGGTAAAATAAATGGGTCCATTCATCCAACTCAGAGGGAGCTCTCGATGTGGACCCATTGAGTGGTATGAGCACGGAGAGGCTGCCGAAGTCTCAGCGCCATTCTAGGCTACATAAATTTGGAAGGTGTTGTGCGACGATCTGTACTACAGATAACGTACGCTCACTAGGATCTGAGCCCTTCATTATACGACGCCATAGGACTGATCGAGATGAGAAGACGCCGCCCATATAGCGCCGTAAATGGTACCGGAGAAAAACTTGTCCCTGGAACATGTAACAGCAAAAGATTCGATTGAGTTACGTCCTCGTTAACACCAGCTTATATATACTCATTGATTCATATGAACAACAAACAAACCTGAATAGGTTGTTTACTATTGAAGAAATGTGGATTAATGCTACTCTTGATATTCCTTCATCGTTCATGCACACACCTCAATCCAAGAGAAGACAAGGCAAAACGTTCTATGTGATCTTGGAGAATTTCCACGGAGAATACTATACCTTATTTAAAAACCCGATAGGCAATTTTAAGGCAAAGAATGGACAGAGGAGAACATCTCGGGAATGTCGCATACGATCCACAAATTAGAATGGAACAACCAGGATAAAACTTTGTCTGAGTTTGTAATTACGAGTGAGATTTCCCGCTGTAATATACAATTCCAGAACTCTCATTCTTAACGATGTATCTGGGAGTCACCCAGCGGAGAGTACCGTAATAAAGTACACCACGTCATAGTGAATAGAACGTTTCGCCCATCCAACTTTTGTGCTATCACAAAATTTTGCACGGCGTCGGATTATCACCTCATTGGCGGAAGACTACTTTATTGTACGAAAGAGAACAAGCAGAAAAGTTCAGGAAAAAAAACTCCAAATTCACTGCGGATTGGAATTTGTTGGGAACCTTACTGTAACTAGATGATGGAAAAACAACACACAAAATTGAGCCGAACGAATCCACCAGTGGTGAGCTGTATGAGCAAAATTGTTTTGTGGATCCTCACACAAACGCAGAATAAGTTGAAACGTTGAACTCACATGGGTACGTACTGATGCATTCCCTAACTGTGCTTTACTGTTTTGAACATCTGAATCAATTTGTTCTAAAAATCAACAAGATGTCAAACATTTCAAGCCTTTCAAAAATTTTAAAATTTTCAGGATTTTCAAAAAGTGGGACTTATTAGTTTGTGCTAGTATCGAAAAGGTTGAAGTTTTAAACGACATTCCTATTGAGAATAATAACTTGTGTCAGCTGTGGATGTTTAATAACAGATTTTGCGAACCACCATTAATTCATGAATAACCGAGTATTTTTTAGCGAGCATCAGGTTCCAGTACAATTCCCATTTATTTTGTTCCTAAGCAATCAACATCCGCGCAGGTGGACTGTTTCCCATTTACTGACACAGTTGTCTGACTTCAACGAAAAACGTATCCGAGCGTCTTTGCCAAGCATGCCATCTAGGGTAGCAAGCAAGTAGTTGGCGCTAATAGAATTACAGAGTGTGAACAAATCGCTGGACATCAAAGAAGTTGTTGATCATTGATGTGATTTATAGAGTTGCATGTTTGGAAAAAATTCGTAACACTTACTCGGCTATTTTTTGCCGATATTTTTGAGAATAGTGATTATAACCACATGCTCTATCTTCACAACCTTCACAGTTTATCAAGCTACTCTTTCACATAGAGCATAGGACGAGGAGTTCGTTGGGCGGGCGAGATCGAGCTAAACAGCATTCCAGTGCTGTAGAAGAAACTTCATATTCTACAGTCACAGCCAGCTTCGCTCATTTGTTTCCCTAACTCTCAGCCACAGATGTGATTCATTTGCTAAAGGAACTTTGCTCTGAGCACATGGACTATTCTACCTCTACTTGCACAATGAGAAAATTCCATGTCAAAAGTAATTTTTTCCGCATTCACGAGAGCACGCTACTATGATGTTTCCAGGCGATCATTGCAGATGCTAGCTGTCTCCTCAGAATCGCTTCCTTCCCGAAATATCATTGGAAGTACTTAACGCAGTAGCCACCATATGCATTGCCTTATTTATTGAAATAAGAGAAAAGAATATGTTAAACACCAAAGCAATCAAAAGAGTGCAAGTAGGTCTATTTCACATAACTAAATAATAACAGTGGCTTCCTATATGCAACCAATCATGGACAATGAAGATTCGAAGAGCAACAACAACTTCATAATACTTGCATCTTGAAGTCGTCCACCGTGATTAGGTGCTGGTGGTCGTTGTCGATTTTCCATTTGCACAGACAACATTAGGTAAGTACGTGAAAGAGGGGTCACGTACCTAAACTAAGGAGAAGAAAGGTTTGCAGTAACTATTGAGAGAGCAGATTTAAGCGTATAGTAGTTTCTTTGTCAGCAACATGTCACCTTGTCTCTTCGCATTCTCCATAACCATTCTGGAGTTGATTGAGGGTAACTTTCAACATCAGAAACTTCAATCGCTAAACTTGAAAACTAAAGAAGAAAACTGCAATGAACAAGCAAGAAAAATTCAACAAAATTGAACAATGAAATAGGATGAAATACTTACTGCAAAGTCAGTATATTTCGCGCGCAACTCAGGATATGCCGCCACCTCAACGCTGTCTTCAGAAGCATCACCACGACTGATCAGCCAGAGATCATCGTTGGCTTAGTCGAGTTGTTCACTTCCATCCATACTAAGGTGAGATGATGTTGAGATATTTGCAAAACTTGTACCCCATGCCAGATTGAATCCGTGATTACCTTCCCGATTCAGCTTAACAGGTTTCAGTGATAGTTTGAGCTCTCAAGATAATACCTGTATACAAACGTTTGCAGATATCAATGCTAGAGGAAAACACTAGTTGACAGAAAAAAAAATTATAAGCTGCGGTAGTGCAGTGGGTAACATATAAGCCTATGGAAAGGTTTATAGCGGGTTTGAAGTGAATTAGACGTTTCTGATTTTGCTGATATTTCGCCATCATTACGGTTGCATTTTAAATAAAAAAGACGATATTCTGAGGACATCTTTAAAGGTTAACAATATATGAAGTTTTTAATAGCATTTCGTGCTTTTTGTTTTCGTTAACATTCAAAAAGCGCACTGAGATAAGTCGTTTTCCAAAAATACCTTTATGGTCCCTTTTCCCATGTGTGGTCATGCAGCTTCGTCTTCTTGGCATAGCCAGCGAACTGGCACCAGAAATCTTTGGGAAAACATGCATCTAATCCAGAAAGGTTACCGACTTCACATGTACCTTGTATCCTATCATGATATCAATCTAGTCGCACGAAGGTAAACCTCCCTCTGATCCGCAAGGGCGACGACCACCTGTGGTGGTGACGACCTGGGACAGGCTTTGGCCTGGCTAAGCTCGGGACTGCAGGGAGCCACAATGGCTAAAGCAGCAAAACACCGAAAAATGGAGATTGTGCTGATGCCCGCACAACTAATGAGGGTGGGTCATCCAAATATCCAAATACACTTAGATATTTAGATACTTTGATGGTCCCGTTGCTAACCAAGTATAATTATGTAGAAAAAAATTACCTATGTGTCCTCCATTCGCCAGCTCATTATGTCCAAGTGAGGTCGTTTAGCGCACAGGAATAGCGCTCAGCGGTTACGATGTCTCTTCTTGATGCACTACTGTTGGCGCTATAAGACAGCTTAAGATTGGCAATGTTTAAAACATTACAGTTTAAAAGCGAAAATGTTAATAACATGGCAAAACCCATAAGCAAAGGCAGAACGGAAAGAAAATAGGAAAAACTTTTACCTGTTTGCACTGAGGGCTGACCAAATCTGGAGCACGTGAAATGATTCCGGGTGCCTCACTGGAAACAGATAAAACATAAAACATTTAAGCACAATTATGTACGAAGAAGTGGCAAATGGTAGCAAAAACATGGGCACACCTAAAACAATTGGATAAAGACTAACTATGATGATACGCAATGCACAGTAGACGTATAGCGACTAGCTAGGAGAACAACAAAACAGCTATGAAAAGCAACAACCGTTAACCCTCCAAGTTTTTAACTAACGAAAAAAGTATGGGACACTGTAGAAAAACAGCGCCGTATATCATGTGTGAGGTGTGAAACTAGGCCTACTTGCCTGCTTAGAATACTTGCCAGCCCCGCATTCGTTCACTTTATTATGTTAGAAATTACGAAAATTTGCTTCTACGCACACTATGCACCGTATTCTCGATACAACTAGTGCAAATGAAAACACAATACAATCAAATGTTTAAGTGAAAAGAAGGAAAAGCAGGAAAGGAAAAACGAGTTTCAGTTGTAGAAAAACTTTACAGAATTTCGTTGAAAAACCAAGAAGTAGGAGCTTTAGCTTTGTTCAAAGTACACGCTTGTATTCGACTTCACAAGCAAATTTCTGTTGGTCCAGAATCCATGGCACTTCCAATCCTAAATGGTGGTGCGACCTACAACAGGTTGATGTTGTGCCAACAAATATACACAGATGCAGCGCATTGCATGAAAAAACTTAAGCTTCTGCTTATGGAAAATATGTTTACAAAGGCAGAATCTCGACCTCAAATAGGTAGCTTTACATCCTCCACATAAATTCAGGTGAGAGATGCCTTTACGGATCGCGTCGCTGAGGATCGGCCACTTCCTATACAAGAAGACTTTGAGCAAATGTTCGAAAAGGCGCTACCAGTCGTGAACTCACACGAGAAAAGTTGCGAGGATCTTGCAAGGTCAACTGAGAAGTGGAACGAAAATGTGTACAATGTGGTTACGGTAAGTGCACTAACATACAGGAGGCAGCGATGGAAGCCCTTAATAGTCAGGGAGTGCCTACTCAATTTATAAAGATTCTTTGTGAGTTGTACAAAAATTTTACAACGCAGATATCGCCATTTTATAACGATATTACCATTGACGTCAAAAAAGGGGATAGGTAAGGAACACCATCTCGGTAAAATTATCTGACACAACCTTCGAAAGCGTCATGCGAACATTGGGAAATCAAAGGGAAATATGGGAGTGAAAATCGATTTTCGGAAGTTGCACCAACTTCGCTTTTGCTGACGACATCGTTCTTATAACACCAAACATTAGCCAAGAGGAACGAATGCTTGCCGATTTTGATAAAGCTTGTGGAAAGGTTGGTCTTCGACAAAATCTCACAAAGACGACGCTTGTGAGAAATACGTAAACGTCAATAATGCTCAACGTAATGGAAATCTTCCTGTGTTTCAACTACGTCTACCTTGGTAGGAAAGTCAGAGGGATGAACCATTTTGCTCCAAGGTGGGGAAGAGCAAGTGATTGACCTGGGGTAATTTCGAGAGCGCTGTTGTTGCAGTGAGGAAAGCAAGGAACACCCGAATCTGTGTCCACCTCTTCGACTCCACGGTTCCTCCTGTGTTAATGTATGTGAAAAACTTGGTCACAACGTAAGTCCAGTGAAAGACCAATGAGCGGTATTGAACGCGCCGTCGAAAGCACGATGCTAGAAGTATCTCCCGTCACACTTGTTAGTGAAAGGATTCGAAACTCTAGCCTACATGGTCTTTGATCAAAAAACATAGACGCTGTTCTTCACGCCAAACTGTCGAAGATAATGTGGGCCAGAAGCGCAATGCAGATGAACGATAACAGATGGAGAAGAGCCATTAATGACCGGATTTCTCTGGATGCCAGCCGCACTCCAGGAACGGAACTCCTTTGACTCAATGTCGTAGTTCTTCATGAAAATCCTAGAAGGAAGATATGATGGTCTGAGAGTTTCCAGAGCAAGCAGAACCAAATGGGCTACTCGTGAACGCGACAGAGAGGAATGAAAGATTAACTGACGCCCGCTCGAGTCACTTGATGACCAACAGGGAGACAGGTGATACAGACGATCGACATATTCTTAGTGTTAGCTATCATGGCTTTTGTTCCAAGAGCAGTCAACTTTTGCCACTGTGACCAAAACATCGAAGTTTCCGATTTTTTTGTGAACGGAGGCTAAGCTTCAATCGAATACTACCTTTGTCGGTTGGATGACGCTCTCACAGAATTTTTTCTCATCTAGGTCTTCTTCTCAAGTTCTTTTCCTCCATGCCTTTTTTTCTTACTTTTCGAACACCATTCTGCCTTATTTTTGATGCTCTGTTATTTTTTGAATCTCCATTTCATTCTGTTCTCTTTGCCTTTCTTCTTTTTTCAACTTTTTCCACAAATTCTGCACATTTATTCCTTTATTCTTCCTTCCTTTTCTCCTCTTCTCCTTTCTCTTCCTCTCTCTCTACTTCTTTTCTAACCTTTATGCTCATTCATCAGTCGTAATCTAACAGCTGCTTTTCAAACCTTTTCAGTAAACACTTCTTAACCGCTGGAAACAATTCGTATATAGAAACAGGCCACAATGTATTATTAATCGTGATTCGAAAATTTATATGTGGCCTAAATTTAAATAGCGCACACACCTCAGTATGTAATTCGTTCGCCCCATTATCAATCATTTATTGCCCTCAAAGGTCATGAATTGGCTTTTGGGTTAGCAGTCCCTAAAAGACGCTGCTTTCTCCATAGGTGTCGCTCAATGCTGCCCAAGTTGATTTTCTATCCAATAAATGAAGCTCTAGAGTTTTCAAGACTTTACCACAAGCTGTTTTCTTCTTATTTGAGCAGAGAATAACACCGAAGTCTTTAACAATTTGGTGAGCAGGAATGGAAAGAAGGCGTAGTTGACTCAGCTTAGAGTAGCACGAGGAGCCGCGCTTTCATTATTGACTGGCATCGTTGACCACTACACTTCATGTGTATTCAAAATTCACCTTTTCTTAATAAATATCAGCCTTTCTTTATCTCTTTCTTTTGCTACTGTTAAAGTTATGGTGCAGGGCTAGTAAAATAGCGAGGTGAGAGGAGACGTCGAGTCTACAGCTTATCACTTCATACTTGCTTCTTGTTCGATCAGCGCTCATGAAACAAAAGTGAAAACCCCTTGTGCTGTGGTAGTTCGGCATTTGGTCAGCTTAAAAACCCAAGTGTTCACCACCAACTTGTCATCGGTCCTCCTACTGAATCGATGGACGGCCATTAACTTGTCGTCTAGGTTTTTTCAAAGCAGCTGCAGTGTTTGCTGATATTGATTGACTCGACTATCCCAAATAAAAGTGAAAAAAAATCGTGGCTTCAGCGATCTCACTGGTGAAATAAACCCCGGCTTTAAATCGCAGGTTAACACTATGGAATACCGCTCAGCGACGGGAGCCGATATTCAGCAGAGTATTTGCAATACTTGTAGACCATTGATTTCCAGTATCATGTCTCCGATGCTACGAGTAGCCTTATCGTTATCAACGTTAAGTTATATGTGGAAAACCACAGTGAGATCAACCAAGGGGTGGTTCTCATTTTTAATAATGGTGAAGTGATGAGCGGCTCCACAATGGCTCACCACTCCTTCCACCAATAGGCGAAGACCCAAGCAGTGCCGGAGGCTTTTGGCTTGTATGTTTCATTTGCCATTCGTTTCTTTTTACTTTAGTTTTAGCCCCAGCCTTTTCACAATAATTTTTTCTAGAAGTAAAAGGGTAAATTGTTCTGCTTTTATCAATCTCTTGCAAAGACGTTACTGTTTTCAGTTCATTTAGATGCAATTGGAATTCTTTAAGAGCTTTATAGAGTTGAAATTAGCGACAGATATAAAGACTTATTTCAACGCTATACAGGCAGTTGAAATTAATAATTTAATCTAAAGAATTGTCAAATATCTGGAAATCTCGTGTAGATATTCCAACTTACAGGAATTCTTGCACAAGATCAAAATCGTGCCACCTCTAAACAAAACGAGACGGTGAATACATTTGCTCGTTGGAGATCCGGAAAGAAGCCTACGAGGAGCTCAAAGACAAAGGAGGCGTGAAATGAGATTAAGCTAACGTCGGCAATCACTACAGCTCCAGAAGAACCTAGCGACAAAGAGGTTCCTTCCCAAACGGATCGATGAGTTTGTGTGGTCTAGACCTACAAGGGCACGTCGGTGTGTATTAGTAGGCATATCAAGGAAGAATTGAAGGCTTTTGGCCGAAATGGCACGTAGAATACAATCCGCATAAACTAAGATGCACCCACACCCGCATGCATGAATAAACCTCTTAAATGCAGAAAGTATGTGCCAAATCGACGCAGCAGAAACAGGGAGTCCAACCTTTGGATGCGCCTGCGTCTCAGGAAAGCAAAGGTCACTTTTTTCCGCGATTAACCCACTATCCCCCGCCTCGTGGCGCTCCACGTGGCCTCGTGACTAACCGGATCGACATCACTTATACGAGGGAGATCTGTGGAGTGATCTCAAGTGACAAGGTAGTATATGGGAGGTGCTAGAAATCGCCTCCAAGAAATAAGCTCCATGTCCACTTTGGGAGAGACTGGCAAGCTGCCCATGAATATACCTAGCCTCAACGTTCAGAACCCAGCAAGAAAAAAATACGTGGCTATCAAAAAGCTAAAAACAGTAAATGAAACGCGTCTTATTACCTTGACCGCGAAAGACCCCCAATTCGGCAGCATTGGGCAGGGCGTGTACAAAGAGGCTGCCAAAACCTGAGGGCTAATGTAGGGTGCCTGGATTGCAAAGAACTAGGGTACCTTAGTACCTATACCTATAGTGTCTATAGTAGTACATATAGTATTTGCACCTATAATGCACGTACACTTAAATCTGAGTTTTTGATAGAAGATTGCTCGTGCAAGCAAGAAGGATAAGGTACGACGTCATCGGCCTTATCAAAACGAGACGGCGCCGCCCATCCAAAGCCAGCCATGATACCGGAGAAGAACTGTTCCTCGGAACATGCGACAGTAGAGGAGTCGGCGGCGTCGGCGTTCTCGTCAACACGAGTTTGTCCAGATCAATTCCGGCTTTGATAATCTTCGCCATTTGCAAACCGGCACCAAATGACGACGAAGAAGAAGTCGAAGCGTTTCATATGGACTTGGAGAAGTTCTACAGAAAAGACCACACATTCTTCAAGGTCATCATTGGAGATTTCAACACGACGATTGGACCAAGAAGAACGTCTGAAGAACGTCACATTGGGACCCACGGATTAGAATGGAACGAGCAGGGTGAGCGGCTGTCCGATTTCATCATAACGATCAGGACCATCCATGGTAAACCGCAATTCTAAAAGCCTCACCCTCAGCGTTGGCCGTGCTAATAAGCCAGTACGCGCAACGTTGTGCTGTCTTTTTTGCATAAACTCTGATCCTTCATTATTTCTTCGCATTGTTTTATGCGCAGGTTAGCAAAATAACAAGGTAAGAAAAGATTCGAATGTCCAGCTTATCAATTTATGTAGTTGTACATTTGTTCACAATAAAGACCCAAGTAATCACCGCTAAATAGCCATTTGTCCCTTTAGATCGGTCGGTGGCCTTTTCCTAGATGTCTAGGTTTCCATCAGGATAGCATCTGTAACATGTGATATTGGTTTATTTGACCTTTCCAAACAGGAATATCAAAATTCGTGACTTTTGCGATTTTACTAGTGAAATGAACCCACGCTATGCATAGCACGTCGCCAGTATGAACATCACTTAGACGCGGTGATCCGTTAGTTATCAGCGGTAGTATTTACAATATATGTCAACAAGTGTTCTACATTACCATGTTTCCAATGCTACAAGTGGCTTTCTGGTTATCAACTTGAAGTTGTAAGTGGAGCAACGTAGCGAGGCCAACCAAAGAGTGGTTTTCGTTTTTAATAGTGTTAAAGTGATGAGCTGCACCACATGATTCACTACGCCTTCCACCAATAGGCGAAGGCTGAAGCAGCGCCGGAGGCTTTTGTATGATATTTTGTTTCATTTGCCATTCGTTTCTTTTTACTTCAATTTTGGCCTAAGCGTTTTCACAACAATTTTTTTCCCAGTAATAAAAGGGCAAAGTGTTTAGCATTGGTGAACCACTTAGGGAAACCTTTTACATTTGACTAAATGTGAAGCCCTATTTGCTAGCTCCATACTTGTTTAATTTATTGCGTTAGAAATCAGGACAATTGCTCCTACGCGCAACGTATTTTCGATACGACCTGTGTAAATGAAAACACAATAGAAATAGATGAAAATGATGACGGTACAATTTCAGTTACACAGAAACTTTGCAGGATTTCCTTGAAGAACGAAAAAGTAGGAGCTTCAACCGGATTCAAAGTTTACGTTTGTATTCGTGTTGACAACCAAATCTCAACGAGGCGAACAACAGGCATGGACCATCGACTCGGATCACCGGCTCTGAGGAAGACGAAGACGTCGAAACGTTAGCCGAAAATAAATATATTTATCAACCTCGTGCAAGCTTATCAAGAAAGAATACATATTGATTAGTCACACCGAGGTTTAGGGAAGGTCGGTTTCGAAATATTACTACGCTTTGTGCTAGCTGATAATACACCGACCTCTGCACGATGTGCGCAATGATGTATGTCCGGAAGAAATACAAGTTGTTACCACCGGACATTGTCATTATATATCCACCATCAGCATCGTGTATAAAAGGGCATCACTGAGTGAGCATGCCTCATTCGAGAAGATGGCTCGCTGAGGAAGATCTGGCTCTACAGGAAGGCGAAGACGCAACGTCGAGGCGAACAACAGGCATGGACCATCGACTCGGATCACCGGCTCTGAAGAAGACGAAGACGTCGAAACGTTAGCCGAAAATAAATATATTTATCAACCTCGCGCAAGCTTATCAAGAAAGAATACAAATCTCAACTGTTCCAGAATCCATGGCACCTGGAATCGTAACTTGCGATGCCACCTACAACAAGTTCATAATATGCTAACAAATGTACACGGATGCAAAGCATTGCACGGAAAAACATAAGCTTCTGCTTGTGGTAAGTATGTTTGCTCACAAAACAGAATCTCGACCTAAAGTGTGTCGCATTATAACTTCAATGACGCTGAGATATTTGCAAAGCTCCGGACCGCAGATGTATGCGGCGGGGAACGAACGCGCTATTGTCCTTTCCGGGGTGTAGCGCGTCCACCACTATACAACGCGGGTCCTTCGTTTCGCCTGTCTCTCAGCTAGCATCATTGAAGTTATATTTTACAATGTATACCCTGCCGTTAAAAAAAGTAGGCAGTAAATAATAAGTTAAAATTGTGATTATAACTGCGGCTTCAGCCTAAATGGGTTCGCTGCCGATTTGGGCCCACCAGATCAATCCCGCTGACGGGTGATTACTGATGGAAAAAAATCGATAGAACTAGCTGAGAGACAGGCGAAACGAGGAACCTGCGTGGTGTGGTGGTGGACGCGCTACTCCCCGGAAAGGACAATAGCGCGTTCGTTCCCCACCGCATATACCTGCGGTCCGGAGTTTTGCAAATATCTCAGCATCATTAAAGTTGTATTTCACAATGTATACCCTTCCGTTAAAAAGAGTAGGCAGTAAATAATAAGTTAAAATAATGTCGCTTTAAATTCTCCATATTAGTTCAGGTGAAGGATGCCTGTGTACATCGTATCGCTAAGGAACAGTCTCTTCTCAAGCAAGAATACATTGGGCAAGATTTCGGAAAAGCGCAACCAGTTATGAACTTGCACGAGAGAAGTTGTGAACAGCTTGCAATGTTAACTGAAAACTGGGACGGAAATGTGTGCAATTTGTCGCGGTAAGTGCTATAATCATATAAATCTCTGAAGTCGCGTCTCTTTTCCTTTTTCTGACTTCCAAATACGATTAAGCTAGGTCGGTAAAAATCACTTAGGACTGCTACATACTTTTTACGCAAACGTGTTGTTCGGATGGAAGGACGCCATAGGAGGGAAGCTCAAAAACCCTTTTATCATTCTCTACTGAAAAATTTCGCTCACAACAGGAGAGTTATTAAAGTCATGGAGATTTTGAACTCTGAGTGACAAAACCACGGATCTC